GGGACATCGCGTTGCCGGAAGCCTGGGTCACGTGCTCGCGTGGGAGGAGGGAGGACGCCTCACCAGGGCATGTGCCCGTGTGGGAGAACGGCGGCTGCCTCACTGGAGCCGTCAGGAGATCCTTCTCTTCGCCGAGGCGCGTGTTCACCGGAGCTCAGGACACGTGCTCACAGGGAGGAGGGACATCGCCTCGCCGGAAACCAGGGGCGCGTGCTCGCTGGGAGGAGGGAGTACGCCTCTCCGGGGCATGTGCCCGCGCGGGAGAAGGGTGGCTGCTTCACTGGAGCCGTCAGGTGATCCTTCTCATCGTCGGGGCGCGTGCTCGTGGGAGGAGGGAGGTCGTGCCACCGGGACCGACGATGCGCGACCTGATGCAGTCCAGCTGCAATGCCACCATGTACTACAACCTCCGCGTGACCGCCCTCTTCGCGTACCGGCCAGCTCCACCGCCGACCTTCGCTGCCTCTGTGCCATAGCCGTCCCTGCGGCAGCCGGCAACACCTCCGCCACCGCGTCCGTGCTCGCCAACACCACCTGGGCCGCCTCGGGCACACCAGAGCCAGGCATCGACGGGCGTGCGCAACAGCCGGCGTTCATGATGAGGACCTGCGCCGGCAAATACAGCGAGGCGGGAGAAGGTAGTGCACACAAGGGGGGAGGGGGTTGATTGCTTTTTCTTTTTTGATTGGTACAAGAGTGTGTATGCAATTTCTTTGCCAAATTAGCTCCTTATAATCGGGTGCTACTTGGCAGAAAGTGATAAAACCCAATAAATCCAGCGATAAGTGCTTTCTACAAAAAGTGTAGAATATACACGGTGGCTTTTGTAAATAATTAGGAATCAGGTTGTTTTTCGCAAATGTGTGTTGGTTTTCAGCAATTAACTACTCCCTCTGTCCTAAAATATAAGAACGTTTTTAGCACTACACTAGTGTTAAAAACGTTCTTATATTATGAGACGGAGGGAGTAGCATTTACTCCAACTCAGAATATAGTGTACTCGTTGGCCATTTTAGGCATATTTTTGGTGAAAACCTTCCTTCCGTACGACACAACAACCAATATCAGTACGGGTCGATTGGAAAAGTAAAGAGACAAGCATGGTAAATTCCTTCTGAAGGTGACAAAATGAAAACAGGCACGCTAGACGTTGCACTAACCTTGGACAGAGAAGTCAGGATGGGGCGGCTCCACTGGTCGCTGACTTGAAGCTTGTAGGTGGCCATGACGACCTGTCCGCCGAGGTGCATCACCATTCACCAGGATGGGCGCCCATAACAGCTCCAAGTCGCGGTTGCCATGCCCGTAGCTGCAGCGCGGCCCATTCTTTTGACGGTTGAAGAGCACGGCGAGAGCGAACAAGGCCAGAGGGTCGCTGCCGATGTGCGCCAGCCGAACCGAAACTCTAAGCCATGACGGGATATGAAACTTGTGATGGCAGGCAAGCAACGCGTGGAGGTATTGGGTGCCGAGGCTGGCGAGGACGAGGATGCGCAGCTGCCACTCGTTCCACCATTGCGCCATCTTGCACTCTTGTGTGTGTGTGTGTGTGTTTGCAACTTGCAAGCAGCGACGGTTGATGCACTCCAAGTCATGGCTTCTCTTAGCTATATGCACGTGATTAGGCACCGCGTCGTCCACTAAGTTTCCTGTGCCAACCGAATATAGTTCATTTCTTTGACTTTGAGAACATGGACGGCAGACGCATGATCCAGATCCAACCTCGCAAGTTGATCCATTTCACTTACACTTGCATGTGTAGATAAGCACCCTTGGGCATGAGCATATGATAGTATTTAGCATGACTCAGACCCGCGACTCGCGCAGTCTCAAAATATTAGTGGCATGATTACCAGGAAAGATGCGACTGTGGTGTTTGTCCGGTAGCTCGTATTCGGGACCCCATGCCAGAGCAGAGCTCCGTGCCTGCTCTAATGGCTTCTCCTTCAGCTAATTATATGCACTTGTTTAACGAGGCATCGTTTAGTGTCAAAAAACATTCTTATATTATGAAACGGAGGAAGTAATTTATTTCTTGTACCAACTCTATATAGAGCTTCTTGTATCTATATAGAGCAGGAAATGCTTGTCCCCTATCCCTATGTGAGTCCGAGCTCTTTTCTTTTAACCTTTAAAGCCATCGTGTATTTAGCACGACTTCTGAGCCACAGGACTAGGATGGTCTTGTGTGAAATATAATGGCACGATTCAAAGCAGCAAAGTTAATTTCTACGATGTTTTTGTCCCGTGGCTCCTGCTATTATATTCGGCACCACATGCGGGATAGTGTTTTACTATTCATCTTTCTTCCCCTGATAGTATGAGTAAGCAAAATTCATCAAGTCGCATAGTGAACTTGATTCCAGATGAGGCGCTTGCAGTGTGCTTCTTTGGACAAGCTTATGTCATGTGCATGCAGACCACAAACCCATGTCTCTAAAATGTTTGGCTTATTTTATCAGTTCAGGCTATACAATCAAAGCTTGCAATAGCTCTGGCCACGGCAAAATTGAATTCCGTGACAGCATGCAACACTAAGCAACAGAGCAAACTGTCAAACAAAAATATTCTGAATTCCATGACAGCATGCAACACTAGGCAACAGAGCAAACTGTCAAACAAAAATATTCTGAATCCATAATACTGAGATTGCTACATGATCTCCATGACACAGCTTCATTCAGGTTTGGCAGATGAAGAAGTGCAATCCTTGCTGAATTTATAACAGAGAATACACATTAGCCCTAATAATAGGGGCGGTTCACTGAAGTCTGGAACCAACATAACCAAAACCTATTCTCATAAAAGGTAACCAAAAAGTTCAACAATTGCGTCTCAATCTCAGCCATATCACAAAAACCATCTGCTTGCATAATGTTTTCAGAAGAATGTTTGCAGCATGCTTGTTTTAACAACCTTTATCAGCGGACTTCAACCGCCAACCGTAGGTTATTTATCATCTGCCCTTTGAGACATAAGAGGCTATACCTTTAAGAATACAACTAGCACACCCCATCGAACTTGAGCGATCGATGATCAATCAGCTATACAAATCTTGAGTGCCAGATCAAATAATGGCCCTGAATGAACTACTCTCTAGAGATGCCAGTAATGCTTATCGGGTAACTATGTTTGACATAGGCTACAAATACATAATACGCATTTCTGACACTCACAAAATTATGCTGCTGCAGATCTATTGTTATCAGGATCTTCTTCTATATTCAAAGCTTGGAGCAGCTTCGGCCATGATTCGGGGATTCCTCCTGGTAAATCGAACTCCAAGAGTTTCCCCCGTGCTCTGTAGAAATCCTCCACTGGTTCACACTGCAAAGATGACGGCTTGCTTAAAAAGGATAACACCCATAACAGGGTCATACACTGAGAACAGAGCTATGATCAAATGTATAGAGGAAATATTCCTAGCCTATACCAGTGAGGGGGAATATTACCATAGGAGTTGCATCATATAATTTCAAGTTTGGAAGATGAAATGTGCTCATTGCTGAATTTGGAACAACAAATACACATAAATTCCAGAGCCAATTGGCTAAACAGTAGTAAATAATTATCATAAAAAACCTCAGAAAATAACAAAGTTCAATATGTCTCAACATGTCTCGGTATTTCATACATGCAAGTTTAAGGTCATGTTGAAATATAAACGACCTAGCATCCCTTTTCTATACTGCTAAATTCACTACTGATCTCGTACCTAAACAAACATAGCTTCATACGCCCTACTAGTGCAAGTTGATCGTTATGATCTCATAAATTTTACTCCCTCCGTTCCTAAATATTTGTGTTTTAGAGATTTCAACAAGTGACTACATACGGAGCAAAATGAGTGAATCTACACTCTAAAATATGTCTATATACATCCATATGTGGTAGTCCATTTGAAATCTCATTTTGCTCCGTATGTGGTCACTTGTTGAAATATTTAAAAAGAAAAATATTTAGGAACGGAGGGAGTAAATAACAACACAAATAAAACTCAAAAAATGAAATTTAAGGTTCACTGCTACGTACCAAATCATGGTAAACACGCAATCGCTCCTTTACCACCTCTTCAGTATCATCTGCTCTGGTAATTAACTTCGATTCGCACTGTGGAGGAGGTAGTAGTGGAGGCATATACATTCGAGGCCCACCATTCTCACCCTCAATGTCAATGGAGGCCACATTGAAGTTTCCTCCACACTGGCTGCACTTCCTTCTACCAACGCATTTTGCAAGCAGAGCCTCTTCTCGAAGTTTGAGATTGATCACCAAATCAATATCTGTGACTCCCTCCAGTATTTCCTAACAAACCACACTATACAATTTAGTTTGGGAACTGTCACGCGATATGAGCGGATAAGTTCTTTTTTATCAACAAAAAACTGCAGATAAGTTTGAAGACTCAGTTGATCTCAACCATAGACATGAACTATGGTACATCAAAACTATTACTAGAATGAAGTTCCACATTTGTTGCAATTATATATGTCTTGCATAATTACAACCAGGTCAAATAACTAGCTCACCGCTTGTCTTATAGTTCTTGGAAAACCATCAAGTATGAACCCTAATTCACCCTTGTCTCCTCCCTCCTCAAGGCGCTTTGACAGCAGATTTATGATGATCTCATCAGACACCAGTTTTCCATGATTCACAATCTCCGAAAGCTGGAAACAAAGCAGACATAAGACAATCAACAAAGTGGAAGTGGTAAAACAGAGTTGAACTAGTTGGTGTTATGCTGATTTGGCTTCCCTTACTAGAATCAAGTTCCATATTGTTAACTAGAATCAAAATTAACATTGTTATTCTGAAACTGTACACAACCTACAGGTTAGTCTTATTTATTTGGGCCTTATCATCAATCATTCATTCATGCCTCTGCTACTGGAAGTGTAGCAGCACAGAACTAAACAGTCATAAAAGGGTTCAATCAAACAATCTATCCTAAGCTGCAACCATCGACCGAGCAAGTTGCACATCCTTGCACTCAGGTTTCATAACCAGCCCTAATGGATTGTCTTACAGACTTCACAATCGTGTGAGGGTTTTCAGACTGAGTTAACAGTAGTAATATCTGTTTCAAAAACTTGTTCTATAAGCTTCTTGTGAGGGTTTTCAGACTGAATTAACCGTAGTACTATCTGTTTCAAGAACTTGTTCTATAAGGTAACAAATTCCAGCTTGTTTGCAACGAACCGACCGCACGGAAAACAGTTTGTCAGTATATATCATCAGTCTGCTGCAGGTGTGCCGACTGCTGAAGTGTTGAGCATGTGCTTAATAGCATGGTGCAGCTGTTGTGTTTCGTAGTGACCAATTGGATGTTCTCCATCGGGAGTTTTGCACCCCAAACAAACTGCTGGCGTCGTCTAACTGGATGTGATGCATCATGTGCCTACGGATTGCATCACCAAAAAATAATGGCGGCAAGCTGGGTTGCGACGATGATACAGGATTTGCGCTGCCATGTGGTCGGATTTGTGGACTCTCATACAAATTAAAGCCCTCTTTCTGCACTAAGAGCGGTCATGATTGTTGCTGATTTGGTAGCTGATGCAGGGGAACACTTGCAGGTAAAACTATCCTTAGGCTCCCTTTCGTCAACATCAGAGGGGATCTCTACTCTCTAGCTATCAATTCTTGTACGAAAATCACCACGCAGGATTGAGCGCGAGGAACTGGAATACTACCTGCTTGGCGAGCGGGCCTGAGGAGGCGAGCTCGTCGCGGACGAGGTCGCCGGTGGCGATGTGGGGCACGCCGAGCAGCCGCGAGAGGCGGCCAGCGTAGGTGCCCTTGCCGACCCCGGGGCAGCCGAGGAACACCCACTGCACCCGCGCCCCGTCCTCCACGGGCCCCGGGCCGCCGCGCCCGCGCCCGGCCGCGGGCGGCGCCCCCTTGGCCGCCCCCATCGCCTCCACGGACGCCAGGCCCCTCCTCGACGCCCCGGCCGCGCATGCCCGGATCGCGCGGGACATCGCGGACGACATCTCGCCGGCCCCTGGTGGAGACGAACGAGCCGGAGATATTTTCCGTCGGTCGCCCTTTTTCCTCGTCCTGCTGCTGCTGCCTCGCGTTCGAGTCGAGTCGGAGACGACGACGGGGGCGCCTAACACGTGGCGGGCCCCGCGCTGATCCGAGCGGCGGTGGGCGAAATAGGAAAGAAATTTCTCCCGGGAATATCTCGGTAGGTTCCGCGCGGCACGTCGGACGGTCTGTGGCGCCGGACGCGTCGCCGTCGGCCTCGATACGCCGGAGCGGCGACGTCACCACGCGCATGCTGGCGTGCACTTCTCTTCCACCCGTCCGTCCGTCCGTCCGTCGCAAGCTGCAGTCGCGGTCGGAGAATCCTTCTCGTGCCCGCTTCTGCTTGAGCATTCTCCATCGCGGCTGAAGGTGCCCAAGAGCCAAGAGGGATGTGGCCGTCTTGCGGCGGATCACTGGGAGCTCGCCGATGAGCGCAAATCCACCCCATGGAAGGGTGGCGACACAAGGCCCTATGAATGAGGGCAACGAGCAGTGACCCTGCAGAGCTCCTCTGGAGCGATGGTCATGGGCACGTAGGAGATGCCAGCGTCTAGCGGGGTTGGCAGCGTTGTGCTCCGGTCCGGAGGTATGTCGCTCATCCGGAGGTTGTGCGTTGTTGATCTAGTGTTGGCACGCGGGCGATGTTGATCTACGTCTCGTGCTCCATTTTCGGTCATGTCGGGCCCTGCGCCGACAGGCATGGACAGAGCTCTCTCCGACGAGGTGGTAGTCGGCAATGGTGCGCTCCGCCGTCAGTGATGGTCATTGTGGCAACCACTCTAGCCTACTGCGATGGCCTCGCTACAGACTATTGTGGCCATCGAAAGATCTTTCTGAGGGTTTCTTTCTCCAAATCTAGTGGTTGACTTTGGCAGTGAAATGCAAACTATGGACGACAAGTTGATGCGGAGAGATGGTTGTGCAGCGGCAGCGTTCGCATCGCATGTGTGACTTCAATGGTGGTGCTACTCGAGCTCTGAGGTGAAAGCATAGGTCTGACCTGAGTTGGTTCTACCTGCCAATGGCAATGTTTTCATGTCATTATCTTGTTGAAAGCATTGCTCAGGTATGCTTGGACCGGATCTTTAAGGTGAAAACTTGATTCTGACCTTTGGTGGTTGGATCCGGCGGCGACGACGTTTAAGCGTGGTCCCTTTCTGAAGGCATTGATATTGAAGAATCGCGCCGTCCATGCGGTGTCATCAGATTGTTGTGTGAATATGGTCATTGTTGCAGTTTGTCGACCACATATTTAATCGCTTTGAAATTTTTTTTCCTCATCCATGCATAGTTTTGGTCGTATATGAATTTACTATTTGCCGGCGTGTTTTTCGTGTGCGTGCATTGGTGTTGGTTGTGTGCATTCAAGTTGTGCAGAGACCAGATTATGCTCTTTGTGTTTGTATTCTCTCGATGGTCCATCTTGAGCCAATAAAATTCACTCTTTGTCAAAAAGGTACTCCTTTTGTCAGTTGTTGGACTGTTCGATTCAAGCATGGCAGAACGGAATTTGTTCTCAACCATTCTTATACATCTGGAAAATCAACAGAGTTCATTGGCCATCTCTTGAATGGATAAATAACTACAAAACTAATGATGGCTTCACACTGCAATTTGCAACTCATCGTGTTAGGTTGATATAATATGGATGAGTACCCTGTTTTTGTATTGTTCAATGTTTTATCGGGCATGGGGCATAGTTGGCATATGAACTACTTATTGTTTTATTGTACTCTTTAATTTGGTGTATGAACCATTTGGAATATGAAATTTATGTTGTATGGAACAATTGCTTAAAATAAGAACTGGCCTACAATATCTGAAAAAAAAAACATAATGTTGCTTACATCATGATGCAAAACTCTAATTACAACCCTGTATAATTTAAAATACTATACACTACACTGGTACAGCTACATGTCCTCTCCTCGCATCTGCAATAGGTACTCAACTGGATTAAGTTGAAGTTGAGAATGAACATGTTTGTTTTGAATATAATTTTAAGAACAGTTGTTAGCTCATGGATATGGCCAAAGCAGAACTTGTGCTACCAAGGGCAACAAATTCCACTTCCAATGGATGCAATCTATCCGTTTGCTCTCTTCACCAATCAAAAGAAATCACAATATTAGAAATCTCAGTAACAATATCCACAAACTTTCCAGGACTCTTTTATAGAGATGCTCTTTGCAAGCCAGCTACAATCAGCTGGTAGCATGTGGAATGCTACGATGATCTTTTGCAAAGGAGACACCCAAGAATGGCAACACTATCTCTTGTCTGCTCAAAATAACTATCAGCACCTGCTATGTCCAAAAACAGAGGATGCTGCTTTCTGAACATGCTAGGAAAGAGGAATATGACACGAAGATGAACAACGATGGCTAAAATGAATATGTACCAGTTGCAAATCAAAGTTATTCATGCCGACCAGAACCAGAAATGCGTGCCTGCTATTCATGTTGTAATGAAAGAACCACCACAAGATTCATTAATCCCCAAATATCAACTGTATTATATTTATTGATTGATGACGAGCATAACAATAGGTAACACTATAAATCTAGTGTCCAGAGTGCACAGCAGCTCGGGCATCCCTACAAGGTTTCTTGATTCCAAGCAACACGAGAAATAGAAAATGTCAAAAATAATCTGAATTCAATCTTGCGTTCTGCCGACTCGGACTGATCGACTGCACATTGATCGGCTTCTGTCAATCATCAAACCAATCGGGCATGGCAGAACGCAGCTGTATCGAAGAAGAATCATCTCTAGGTGCGGCAAATCTGGAGAGGGGCGACGACGTCGGCCATCTCCTCGCAGGCGGCGCCAGCGACCTGGACGAGGTCTGGAACGCCCTTACTCATCAGCAACCTCCTCCGGCATTCCTCTGCAGCTTCCATCCCAGATGAGTAGGCGCCGTGCACCGCACCAGAGTGCTCCGCGCTGGCCGCCTCTCCGGCGAAGTACAGCACGCTCTCCACCGGCGCCGAGAACCTCTCGCACACGTCCGACGGCTTCCCCACCAGGTCGCACGAGTAGGACCCCAGCGAGTTCGGGTCTGACCCCCACCGCGACACCAGGTACTTGTTCTGCAAAATCCAACATCGATCATCAGTTCACAATCGCCATGGTCAGAATTCAGAAGTCACAGAGAGTGGTGAACATACGGGTTCAGTTGCGTCGGGTATCATCTTCCTCAGGTGACACATGACGAGTTCCACAGCCTCCTTGTCCGAGAGCTTCTCCACATCCTGGGCGAACCGACCGGCTGCCATGAAGACAAGCACTGGGTGGCCGGTGGCCTTGTGGAGGTTCAGGAAGTAGCCGCACGTCTTGGGCGTCGGGCCGACCATGCCCAGCACCTGCACATTCGGCCAGAAGGCTTTGTCGAAGTGCATGGCAACCTTGTTTTCAATGCCGACACCAAGGTCGGCGATGGCGGAGCTCTTCCAGGATGGCAGCTCGGGCTCGAACTTGATTATGTTCGCCTTCAGCACACCGAGCGGCACAGTGATTATGCAGGCGTCGGCCGAGTATTGTGTGCCATCCTCGATGGTGACTGTCACTCCCTTCTGCTGGCGTGCAATTTTCTTTACTCTGAATAAATATATAGCAGTAACAAAGGTAAGTAAATGTGTCTACCAACTGCGATTAGCAGGAGTACTTCAAAGAAAATGATGATTTAACTCTGAGGCAGAACACATGGAAGTTTCAAACTGATGATTTCACTCAGATAACATGTTTAACTTAAATTCCAAATGTACTTGGGCACCATCATGACAGTATAAAAGATGTGTGATAGACATGCTGAAATTATTTAGTGTGCGGCATATGTATGTTGGGAAAGAAAAGAATAATACACACCTCTGATTCAGACGGATGTCAAGACCTTGAGCGAGAGCCTGAATTACAGGTAAGTATCCATCAACCATCAGACCATGGCCACCAGTGAGAACATGTTCCTGATCCCAGTTTTTCAGAGATATTTCATCTGCATCTGCAGCAAACCATGCCTCCAGCCGGCAGACGCACCATTGAAGGATTCGATCATCTAGCCCTTCTAGCCTATAAATTCACAACAATATCAGTCAAGCTCTTTTGCAACAACAATCCAATTTATAAACTGTGTCTTGAATAAATCATGGCAAATAAGCATGATACAAGATCTTATACATACTTGAGATCAGGGTGCCTCTCAAGAACCATTGAGATTGCCTGTTCAAGGGGCATGTCGTGTTCCTGCTCGTCACGGAGTTTCACCGTCTCCTTGAGAATTTTCTCAAATATCACGCCAACTTTAGCAGCTGTCTCCATTGGGACTGCAAGGCCGTTCTTATCAAAGAGCGAACAGCTGCAAAGGAACCAATTAACAGAGTGAGATATAAGAACATGAAAAAATAATACAAGTATATTGATTGTACCAAAGGAAAATGTATGTTCGAGTGCTGAAATCACCTTTCCAAATCATGGTCATACAGAACAGAGTTGTCACCACTGGTGTGATATAATCTCAGCCCAAGATGGCCTATCAGTGGTGCTAAAGAATTCTCATTACTGACACCGTGCAACCTGAAAAAAAATCAGCAACACCAGGGCGAAGTTAGCAAAGATTATACAGATAAAATCTACCAAGGATTGTTCCAATCAATAAATTTAGGCGAAACTGACCATGAGGCTCCCATGTCAATGGGGCATCCAAAGGAGTAATCCGTGTGGACACGGCCACCAATTCGATCTCTCGACTCAAGGACAGTCACCTGCTCAGGAAGCAGAGGCACCAGTTAACACAAACACTCTACGGATTCATCAAATTGGAGGAGACAGAGATGAATAGATCAGAAATTTATCGGTACCTCAAAAGAGGAATTGGAGAGGACACGAGCCGCGGCGATCCCTGAGATTCCGCCCCCGATCACGATGACAGATGGAGGCGAAGCGCACCGCCTCTCGATGGTTGGAAGCAGAAGGCCTGGAACACATCAATGCACAGGAATCAGTAACGGCCGGAATTGTTCCTGATCAGAGCGGGAATCAAATCAGGGACGAAATCTATGATGAACTTGGCACCAAAATTGAAATCTTGTACTCAATTATGATCGCAATTGAGCGATTAGCTCCAAAAATCCTGTTCCGACCCCCTACCCATCACCGAAAATCGCCCCTTTACGCAAGATCTGGCAGAGAACGACGAAATTACGGGACAGAACAATCGCCGTACCTCCGGTTTTGAAGCTGTTGGGATCCATGGCCGCCGGCGCGACCGTCGCCCGACGAGAAGAAGAAGACGAAGATTCAGACGGAGCAGCGGCAGGAGAAGGCCCCTCCGTCCGCGCGAACGCAACCGCGAGCACGAGCGGCGTACGTTTGTTTACAAGAGAAGATTGCTGGTGCTACTACTAATAATACTGGAATTACTACGAGTACGACTATTATTCAGACTACGTATGGGAATCGAGATGAAGAACATGAAGACGAGGAGGCCGTCCTGGAGGCGGCTTGCGTCGGCGGCGGAGCGGCGGAACGTGAGGCAGCTCATTACACTGGCTCCAAACCGGCAACACCGAGTCGGATCCCCTGCTTCCTTCCTTCTTTCCTCCCTCCCTCCCTCCCTCACCGGCGGCGGCGAGAAGCAAAGATGCTTTCTTTCTTCCGGCGGGCGGCGGATGGAGAAGTCGGAATTGATCCGAGGATTGTGTTGCGTGGCTTGGGAGGAAGGTGGGGCGTGGCGTTATATAGAGCGGACGGAGGGAGGGGAGAGGAGGACGGACGGACGAGGGCGGCTCGGAGAAGGAAACCGGCTGCGTGCAGGGGTCAAGATATTTTCGTTCAAGTGGGCCACTGGATTTTTGCTAGTCCCGTGCACCTTCTTTGTACGCTTTCTCGGGGAAAAAAAGAAATCAAATGTACGGGATTCAACAAAAAAAAAAATCAGGACATCACGTACATACCTTTATCCCTAGAAAAAAAACACATATTCTATCCTCGTGAGAATCTGTGAGAACATCCGCAGCCGGACTTCCAAATCCAGCACCCTATAAGCTCGGGCGCATCGGTGGACAGTTACTAGAGAGTCATCAAATCGGTGCATCCACACCTGCATATTTCATATATGGCACCCTACATTCATACAAAATCATGCAACGCACTACATAGATCACCAAATGACCAAAATTAACAGGAAGCGGACCTATAAACCGATAGCAAACGAGAATAATTCACATAAAACACACCAAGCGTGCATAATTCATAATTCACAAAGTTCAACTGCCCGACAAATTCTAACGATAGTAGGAGCTAAATTATATAAACGCGGAGAGGGCCAAGCTTCACCACTTCCACGTCGGCCCTTTGCCCTTCCAGTCGTGGGTCATCCATCCAATGGAAGGTGGATAATTTCTAGTAGTCTCGAGCTCTTTGCTTGATATTTCACGTTTATTTGTTCTCTATAAAAGTATACATATAAAAGGTTATTAATTTTTGTTTTTATGAAAAGATATTAGTTTTCTTTAGTAACAATAATTTAGCAATCTCGTGGGAATTTTGTGATAATAAAGCGTTTATGGTTATGGTTGTTAAAATGTAATGCATTAAACTTATTCGATAATTTGTTGTGAAAAAGGTAGTGAAATGACCAAAAAATGTAAAATAGATTGTGAAATCCACTAATAAGTGTACAAAATTATGTAAAATAGTGTATAAAGAATTGCAAATTTTAAAAAGCAGTGGCTTCGATAATGAAAAATATTATGAAATTACTACTTGTTATACTAAAAATTACTACATTTTATATAGGATTTACTAGGGGTGTAGAATAATGAAATTATTACTCAAGAGGAAGTGGAATCCTCACTTAGCAACGTCGTGCCTCTGATGTTTGCGCCATGAAAGCACATATTGGTATGATCAGAAGGGTCCATGTCTAGGCCACCAAATACCCTAAACATGTCACCCCAAGTTTCGTTACAATGAGAGCTCGAAGGCATTCAAAACTCCAGGACGAGAAATAGGAGACCAAGACGGCGATGGCCAATGCAACCGACCAAGACCCTAATAAATTGGTATCCGCCCCGACTTACCCAACGCGGCAACATGTATTCTGGTGGCTCACATCGTCCATCAACATGAATTAATCTCCCGCAGTCAAAGCAAAGTGGGGGATCTTCTCATATTAGAACTATGTAACACATCTTCCGGTGAAGAGCACAAAATGAAACCCCTAACCATTGGCTCAAGCCTAGAAAATCCTACTCGAACCAACAATTGCTTCCCCTTAGTTGTACCTTGGCTCAAGCCTAGAAATTCTACTCGAACCAACAATTGCTTCCCCTTAGTTGTACCATGTTCTTCCGCATCCACTTTGATCACCTTCCCTAGCCAATTACCTACGTCTTTGCAAAAGGTGTCGGTCCTCCTATGTAGTGGAAAGCCTTTCACCCAGACCCATGCATCAACTGTTGGAAATATGAGTAATTTACCGAATGATTTTATTGATAGAAATACTAGATAAAGCATGACTAATATAGCAGTGATAAAACAAGTCATGCAATACGACAGAGAGAAGGTAAATAGCATTCGTATATATGAACTAGAACCGAACACATCTAGAACAGACACTAGAGCAAGAAGTTGTGACAGAACCTCTAACAGAAAGAGTATGAGAATGTACGGAACGTACGGAACGGGAGCAGATGCACCGGTCTTGGGGTCGGTGTCCTCGCCAGCCATGTCGTCGAGGTGGTTGTCGACGTCAGGGAAGAAGTCGTCGTCGGGGAAGTAGTCGTCGGAGTCCGGGGCGTCCGTGACGAAGAAGTCAATAGTCGCGCTAAGCGCTCCCCAAAAACCTTATCACCCTTCTCCCGTACAGGACTCAAAAGGTGCGGTTTCGGAGGCCTACTGTCCCGGCCTGCGGTGCACGCCGCAAGTTGGGATGGGGAAGATCGTAGCAGCAGCGCAGTGTTGGGGAACGTAGTAATTTCAAAAAAATTCCTACGCACACGCAAGATCATGGTGATGCATAGCAACGAGAGGGAAGAGTGTTGTCTACGTACCCTCGTAGACCGAAGCGGAAGCGTTGACGCAACGTAGAGGAAGTAGTCGTACGTCTTCCCGGTCCAACCGATCCAAGCACCGTTACTCCGGCACCTCCGAGTTCTTGACGCACGTACAGCTCGATGACGCACCCCTGGCTCCGATCCAGCAAAGCTTCGGGGAGGAGTTTCGTCAGCACGACGGCGTGGTGACGATCTTGATGTTTAACCGTCGCAGGGCTTCGCCTAAGCACCGCTACAATATGATCGAGGTGTAATATCATGGAGGGGGGCACCGCACACGGCTAAGGAACGATCACGAAGATCAACTTGTGTGTCTAGGGTGCCCCCTTGCCCCCGTATATAAAGGAGCCAAGGGGGGTGCGGCCGGCCCTAGTAGGAGGCGCGCAGGAGGAGTCCTACTCCTACCGGGAGTAGGACTAACCTCCCTTTCCTTGTCCAAGTAGGAGAGGGGGAAGGAAGGGAGAGAGGAGAGGAAGGAAAGGGGGAGTGCTGTCGTGGTTCTAACTCTGACAGTGATGTAGGGGGGTAAGTATGGAGAGGCTAGATCTAAGCTATTGGGAAGTTGTAAACACACCAAGATGTACGAGTTCAGGCCCTTCGCGGAGGAAGTAACAGCCCTACGTCTCGGTGCCCGGAGGCGGTCGATTGGATTATTGGTGTGTGAATAACAGGGGTGCGAACCCTTCATACTGAGGAGGGGGTGGCTTATATAGAGTCCGCCGGCCCCCTCCTGCCCTCAGTGATGCAGGGTTTAAGGTACATTTAGGCTGGGCGTTACTGGTAACGCCCCTAATAAAATGCTATGATGACCATAAAGACTACTTAATAGCTGACTGTTTGCCTGCGGAGTGACTGTAGGCCTCCTGGCGGTCGAGTGGTTGGCTTCATGGTCGAATGGTAGCTTTCTGGTCAAGTGTCTTGAGTCCGTCGAGTGGGATACCTTTAAGTCGATTGAAAGGTGACTTCTCCTAGGAATGTCCTAGGGTAGGACTCTTTGGTCAGGTCCATGTCCCCATCCTAGGTACATGTCTTCATCATTAGCCCCCGAATGGATCGAGGTTAGAGTGGGGAAAGAGTTGGAGATCTTTCCGACTGGTTCTTCGGGCTACGTGAGCGCCTCGTTTTGGGTCAATCGTCACGGATGACGTTGCCAACCTTTTTCAGTCGCCTTGATCCATTCCAGGCCTTCCGTCGAGTGAATTTCTTTGCTTGTGACATACCGAGCGCCGGCGCGATCGGGGTCTTCTGTCTTGAGAAGTTGTTTTGCGGCCCGCGGATGTCGCGGGATTCGGATTTTGGGAAGCGTGCGGGACGGGAGCGGCCGCAGTAATCGGAAGCGATAAAGTGGAAGCTCCTCGATCCCCGTGTCGCCTTTTTCGCCACGTACTGCACGCGCGTCTGCTGTGGGATTTGACTGGATAGCCTGGGCCTACCAGTCAGCCACTCGGAAGCGGTCCCTTATAAATCGCCGGCTCGGGGTTTCCAAACAGTGCGCTCTCTTCTCCTCCTTTCTTCCGCCTCTCTCACTTCGCAAGTCCTTCCGCCACCTCCGTTCTCGCCCTAGTGCAGCAGGCTCGTGCGAGACCTCGCCGGCGACGATGATGAAGGGCAAGACCTCCGCTCTGGAGCGCGTGAAGAAGGCGGCGGCGCAGGGGAAGGGAAGAAGATCGGCTCGGGGCGGATCCTCCTCTAGGACCGCTCTGCCCAAAGGTTGGATTCAGGGCGACTGGATGCCGTCGGTGCTCCGTCAAGAGGATCTCGACGACATGGTCGAGGGGGGAGTCATCCCCCACCAAGCCGCGCGTCTTCCGGGGGGAGAGGTCGAACCTCAACCCCGTGACGGTGAGTGCGTGCTCCTAGCCACCCACATCGACCGAGGGTTTTCTCTGCCGCCCCATCCCTTTTTCCGGAGTTTTCTGAACTTCTTCGGAGCGCAGCTCCATCACTTCACTCCCAACTCCATCGTATACCTCGCCGCTTACATTTCTATGTGCGAGGCCTTCTTGGGTTGCCGCCCCCACTGGGGACTCTTCAAGCACATCTTTACCTGTCGCTCTCAATCGGTCAAGAAGGCCAAGTCGAGTGACGAGAGGACGCAGGTGATCCAGCTGTGCGGGGGTCTGGCGATCCAGGCGAGGGGGAAGAGTTGTTTTCCTTCCATCACTTTCCCAGAGTCGGTCCATGGTTGGCAGGCAACCTGGTTCTACTGTCAAGACCAGGCGACCCCAGGACAGTCGACTGGACTTCCTCCATTCTCTCTCGACCGAGCTGAAAAGCCTGCTTCTCTGAAAGTGTCGCCGGAGGAAAGGGCCCAGGTCAAAGTGTTGGCGGGTCGAGTGGTTGAGCTCGTCCGTGAGGGTGTGACTGGCATGGACCTGCTGGAGGTCTTCCACCGGAGGCGTATCCAGCCGCTCCAGGCCCGTGACCACCCGATGTGGCTGTACGCGGGCCTTGACGACACCACTCGGGTCCACCCGGAGGAGGT